AGCCCTATGTTCTTCTAGGAACCCAAGAGACAAATAATAATAACATTCATGCCACCAACTGTAATACGATCACTGTCTTGAACAAAATTAAACTGAGTAACAATGTAAGGGTTTGAAAAACGTTGTGCAACTATGCGCGTGGTAAACCATACTTATGATGCGAAGGCAGCTGGTGCTAACTAACTGTCTAAATCACAGTAGGTGGGACAGGGTTCGAACTCATGAGAAGTGGTCGAAAGCCAACCACTTAGACCGATGGGCTACATTCAGAATCAATGTGATCAAGAAATTGGAGCAAACCGACAATGCTCAAGCACTTCAAGAGTCTAGTCTAGAAAGGTTACGGTTACTATAGACCTTTTTGTCACGTGACTTAAAGCTAGAACATAAAAGGTAAAAGTTATGTACTTAATTTTGAAAAGCAATCAGACAAACTCTTATCTGGGTGTTTCGCTGAATAGTCAGAAGTAAGAAACATTTAAAAAGTAATCAAAAACAGTAGCATCAACATGCAACACCATGATGAAGTGTCATAATGTACGGAATTGGTAACAACATAATGTAAATAGAATTGATTTCCTGTCATGTAAAACAGAGTCTACGAAAGATTTAACAATTCGAAGGTCAAGTGAATTTTTGTCTCAAAGTAATACTACACATCTATAACGAAGAAAAAGTTTGAGTGTGATTAAAAAGCACTAAGTAAATACAAGACTAAAACTCTAGACTGAAATGTGTCGGTTCAAGTCATTGCAATTCACAGCAAGACGCGAAGTGGATAGAAAAAGTGATATTAAGACGATTATGTATGAGAGTTGACAGAATATTTACTCAACGATTAATGGATATATTTAAGATTTAAAGGATAAAAAAAGTTCAGTATATCGAGAGACTACAGCCAATCAGTCAAAACCAACATGTGAATTAGCATTACGGTGCAATGGTCCTCGTTGTTATACCTCATGTAAGCATATCCAGACACCAAGCAAAAAGATACAAAATAAAGAAGTCAGGAAGAAAGTAATAGTGGTAGAACGCTGTCACGATCGAACGAAATGGAATGAAACGAAAATGAAATTCGGTATGAAGGTGAAGATGATTTTGTGGATACACCTGCACGACTAAAATCGGTTGTGAGGCATATCACCTAGAGTCTCCCATCAGCAACTTCGGTTGTCATGTGGACCTCAAGGGGAAAGCTTACATATCTCCACAAAGCACACATCAATATTCGAATCCTCAATGGAATTCGTGTTTTAGTCGGGCCAACTGCGTGAACCCACACTGCTAACATTACGCGAAAAGGTACATGCAACACATGTCACAGCCACCTGAACTGGTGAAGGCTTAAAACCTCACCAATTGACTTTCCTCTTCTCCCCAAAACTCTCCGCCTGACTTCTACGTTACTGATTCGCTGCCACAACAACACACGACACATACCAAGAAGGTAGCGGTAGCCGAACACCCGAAGGCTTCTTCTGTTCCCTACCTTTAAAGCCTGTTTCACAGACACAATAGAACAAAGCGAAATGCAGTGAAACACAGTCCTTAATTGGCAATTGGATATCATGATGGCGCTATATCTGGTGTAAGTTGAACAGCCTTTTGTATCCGTGCGGTGATTCTGTAGATCACTGACCCAGTAGGGTTAATACATCCTAGGTAGGTTGCCACTCATGGTATCCAGAAGGCACGGCATCTTCTCGATATCTCCACTTAACCAGACTGTCATCTGTGCACTGCGGGTCTACTCAAGGAGCCTCCAGTGATAAATATAATCGCCGTAAAGTCTGATGACGAGAGGACACCGGCAAGCACTTTTATGACAAAAATAAATGCACATTAAAAGAGGTACACAACTCATCAGAAAACTAACTACAAGCTCTAAAATCCCCACAGGTGTTCTAATACGAAATCTTTAATACAGCTAAGTAATACCTTACCACACTTTCCAGTGAGAGATACTGTCATAAGACCTCTCAGCCGACCGATTCGAATGTAGTAATAAGTCAAAATAGGAAGCTACTATTGGATGTCAAAAAGTGTTTCTACGATCCACAACCTGGCGGAGGGGGGATATCTGAACGATACACACGCGGTCAGTACGGAAAGCTGCTTGGTTTTCTTCAGTTGTATATGAGCACCACTTAGATGTCTGATGACGACAGAACCCAGAATGAAGGACATTATGTTCGCTAGACTGGTTCCTCTGTAGTCATCACAGTAGCATTCCCCTCCTTTCTTGAAGACTGGAACAATCAGTGACTGAGGTCAATCAGAAGCGATCGTATCTGATTCTTATACGCTAGTCAACACCTCAGTTCGTCTAACCAATAATCTTCGGTAAAGTCCTCAAAAACCACTAGTCCTAACTCTTCAAAACTTGCTTTTCTATCTAACTTCTGCAAGAGTTCGAAAACCTGTCTCGGCATATGTCCCACGACCCGACTGCATAGTGGGCAAACACGCAGTGGCTGCAGGCTGGGTGGTCCGTTCCTTGGTGTTCTGCTCTTCGTTCCAGTCGGCTTCTAAGTCAAAGACCCATTCTTCTTCACTGCAATCTCACTGACCATTGGATTTTCTGCAGGCAACTGTGTACTGTTTCCTACTACTTTTTTTGCTTTTCCATTTCTTTAGTGCTCACTTCTAACCAATGCTCATGGTCATTGCACAGACTTCTCGCCAGTCTAACTTTCCACTTGTTTCCACTTCTCATTATGCTCGAAGCCTGCATGGAAAGCGTTCACACCCATCCATTAATTCAGAAGCTGCTGAGATCCACTGACCCCTTCTAAGAGTCAGTTACTATCATTAACACTGTTTTTAAAGGCTTCTTCAGAATAAGTGACATGCTTTGAGGTGTAATAGTTTTTGACGACAAAGTTTACAGTACCATTTGATGCAGGGTATGTTGTGTATAACGCGGTTTTAGAAGACTACAGAAGCAGCTCGTAAATCCGTATTGTTACTGAAGCATGTAAAGCTGCAGTAAATTTGAGACGGTGTAGGATTATTGGCTGATGCAAGGAAACATTAGAAGCTACGGATGTGGATAATTGACAGTGATCTGAATAAACTGGAGTGCTGGTGGGGTTGCGAGGTCGGTTGACACTTCACAGCTGCCCACAAAATTGGATGTTTCATCGTTTTCAAATAGTTCGAGAAGAAACGAGATTCTCAATAGTGGTATGAAACCAAAAAGCTCATAGGACATCTGCTTGAGGCCTATTACATACGACCTACTAGGAAGTTTCAGTTTAGGTCTTGCATCCAACGATGAACCCATACTGCCATCAACGGAAGATCGTATGGCGAGACAGGCTGGAGTATTCTGTTTTCTCAGCAAACCTTTTCTAACCCCTTCTTCTGACAAGGAAGGCAGTATAAACATGGGACTGCTTGTTATCCACGGGAAATAATTTGCTGCCGTCACACACTCCTCACCCAGAACCACGACTTTTACGCAGGATCTCCACTATAGTATAGCAACTTGCACTATAACGGTAACTCCTTTCAGTCTCACTACTATCCAATAAACTTTTACCACATGACAGCACTTTGAGAGAACAAGTTTATCCTACAGCATAGCCCACTGGACCACTGTGATATGCAGTTTCGTCAACCAAGTCAAGGTAGCAGCAATTGGTTGGGACAATATAGTAATTTAATTAGTAAGGTAAGTCATGATCACGTTTAAGCTTTCAAGAGCGGTTACACAGACAATAGTCTTATAATTTGGGGTAATAAGCGGCAATATCCGAAAGGAAACAGAGGTCAAGTGTGACTGATCAACAATAAACTCGATTGTACAACAGGTAAGTGTACCACGAGGACGGTGTTCCTAAAACTTCACGTTAATTATTGAAGGTTATATTTATCTACTCATAATCTTAATTTTTTATGGTTTCTAACCAATCGATCGAAAATGACAGCTCTCTGGAGGCATTTTGACTCTTCAAATGCATACCTGAAGTTTGATTTCGATGTTACTCGCCGGCCACCACCACCAAGTAAATACCAAAGTTCTTACAATTCTGTTCGGTTTAGCTACTCGTCAGCACTTTGGCAAGACAATGGCTGTTGGCTCCATCGTCATAAAATGTTACATATTTACTTGAATACTTGAGAGTCAAAATGGATCTTAAATGTGTTATTATATTCTGAAACATAAATCCAGTACGACACTCACCACGAATAAGCCATTCAAATTTAAATACAATCACTAGAGTGAAAACGGAAGGTTAAATCAGAAATAACTTAATGACCAAATAAGAAGCAGTTGCATAAGGTACTTCTATGAAGCCTTCATTACCTGTCAAAAATAGAAAACTGCAACATACCGATCGCTTGTTCTGATTTTAAGCTACATCTGGTAATTTTCGCGAGACCACCTTCTCAGAATCCTAGCGCGAAGCGGATGGTAATGTGACAACTATGTCTAACAGAGTCAAGTTAGTTAACCACCTTTCCTCTTGTTCCTACTAGTCACAGGGTCAGAGAACATTGGTTTAAGAAGTTTGGGTCACACTGTGTGAGGCATTTTCAGATCATCTGATTGATGATGAATTGGGATGCTAAAAACAACAGTCTACACCATGATTGCACACGTATAACCAGACATCGGAACTGTCTACGTGGTATTGCTACCAGTCACAAACATTTCTCAAGAAACAGAAATGATAAGTCACGGTACACCAATGATCATTATCTCGATGAGACCCGTTCTACAAGCTGATTGGAACCAAAAAACAAGCAGAATCAAATATTTGTCCTAGAAACTTTATCATCACAGTGAAAATTAGTTCTACATATTAAAGGCTGGGCACACACCAGACTGACCGACTAACCTGAAAGCCACCGAATCTAACAAAAAACAATATTTTAGCCTATTACAGTCACCAGAGTCACAAGCGAAGAAAAACTGAATGAATGAGAAATTTAGCGCAGAACTACGATCGAAAGAAAACAGTGATACAACCTAACTTTATATGACTTACCATCAACTGATTGTTCATAAAGGAAACACCTGACAAGTGTCTGATAACTCGAAGAGCTGAGTCAACATCACCCATCTCAACCATGGCTGAACCCTCTTTAGTACGCAGGAATTTAACGCGAGCAACGTTGCCATAAAGACATAAAAGATTGAATATGCTGGAAAGAAGAGGGGAAATGTTAAGAAAAGCACAGAGATATTTGCTCTGACTATTTCTATGTTCATTATTTTAAAATGTATACGAAATTCCATCCAATACAACTAACGTATGTGACTCCGGCACGAAATTATATATATATATATATATATATATATATATATATATATATATATATATATATATATATATATATATATATATACTGTTGAAAGAAACTATTTGGAAGATGGAAGCAACTCACTAAAAAGTTTATTACACAATACTATAGGTAAAACTGATATAATATGAACTTTGGTATGATCACTGCAGTGGAAGAGTAGGTTTAAAACTTATCTTGAAGACGGTTTATGCTTGGACAGTGAAATATCAAATGCCAAACTATGTGCCTAGCAAAGCACGTGACACTAAAGGTATCATTTGCAGTTACTACTATATTACGTGTTTTCTATACACATTCAGAATTACCAGTCGATATCATCATTAGTTGGGAAGTAAAAGTGGAAAATAACGTAGTAAAACTTCACTTTCTATTTGAATGAATACCCTTCTCTGATGTATTCTAACTTTAATCATGGGCTAAACACAATGAAAAGTCCTAAAGGTAAAGAATTCTGAAAGCCTAGCTGTAGTTTTATTTGATTTAGGCAGTCAGTTTTCATAGATTAAATGTTTGAATTCCGATATCCGTAGCCAAAATTTACTCCAACAGTCATAAAAATGGTAATCAGAAGTACGAACGATAAATTTAAATAATCACTACTTCTCACAGATATTTAAACAAGGTTGAGATTTAGGGATCTAGAAATGTTTGGTCTTTGTGTAATTGATATTCACTATTTTGACATGCATTCCTCATCAAATGGAAAACCACCATAATTTCTTTTTTATTTACTGAAAAATACATATAGCAAAATGATGGATATCACTAGTTTCCAATGACACGGAAATATCTGCGCGAGGATTATTGTTTGTAATACAAGGTAACTGAATTCTGTTCCAATAACTTTTAGATAATTAAATTTATCCTCGTGGAGTTAAGTGAACCTAGAATTTCTTCCTAAACATGGATATTTTACGGAAGATTGAAGATACGCTAAGAAAACTAACTTATGATGATTAACTGAAACGTTTAGACAGTTAGGTACCAAAAGCTAACAGGGAACAGTTAACTATACCAACAACTGCATCTCAAGTATTTCCAACACGCGTAATTTATATGCATGCAAAATTCATACTGGTCAGTGGGTAATTTGGTTAAAAGTTGATGAATCTACATCAGTGATTTTAACATTCATGCACTAAGTAATGGGGTTACAGTTGTGTAACGGCTTATGACACTACACGACCAAACAAACCAGGGTATATATGTGTTTGAAACCGTAGCTGACTTGACTGGACCAATGAGCCACATCTTACTATCTGTAAAACAGATATAAATCTTCGTATAAAACGGCATGCACGATTGCCATCATCATACTTTTACAGAGCAGTATATAATGATGAAAGCGTGACTGCATTTAAGTTAGACGAACATGCGCCGATCAAGATCAATCATATAATGCAAGCAGAATAATAATGACCTATTGAAATTGGAATACATGCATATGACAAACAGCATATACTTAGAAATTGTAAGCGTATATAAACTAACCGATCACAATTCATTTTCGCCATATCAATGTTGTATAGCATAACCACTCGAGTGCAGTTAGAATGCCTACCCCCCGTGTTATCCCCATTTGGTACACTGTTATGAGACTTCATAGGTAGGTTTTTGTATGTAGGATACGGTTGAGAGTAATCACCTGGATTTTCATATGAATACTGTCCATATGAGTAATCGAAATTGCTATATTCATCATCCATATAACCTAAACGAAAAGGTTAGAAACCATAGGTGACTTACCGAGAAGAGAGTTATGGTGCTGAGAATCTTGAGTAACGTAAGGTACTTCGTATTCAGAAATTTCGAAGTCCCAGTTATCTTGATCATTTCTGGATACGGATAGCCGAGTGGGACGTGCATAGTCTACCTTTAATGTACAACACCCTGGATAAATATCTGCACCATTTAAATGAAGTTTCGCATTCCGCGCATCTTGTATACTTTCAAACTCCACCATTGCCTGAAACGCTAGAGTCTTTGAATAATAACTTACCTGAACCTGAGATTTACGGAAAATGACGATTCGAAGAACATGACCATAACAAGAAGTTATTCGATGAATTGTTTCTACCGTTACCGGACGTTCAGCGTCATAAATTGTGAATAAAAGAATATGATTATCCGAAGAAAGTGTGCTTTGTTCATCAGCAGAAGCTCTGTTTGCAGCACGTTGAACTATATGCTTCGAGGTACTGAAAGTGGTTTGAACTGGGGTATTCAAAACTCGCATTTCAACATTCCTAAAGCAGTCAAATGAAAAAGAACGTCAAGTATGTATTCAAGGATTTATTTGAACATGGAAGCGATTCTCCTCTTAATAAGGCCTGATGTAAAGTTCAGTCTGGTGTATAAACAGCACTGAAAGCAACTAGTAACCTACATCAAAAGCTTAGAAGAGCTAGTGGATTTCCTAAACCTCATCAGAAATGATTATTTCGTCATATGTATTTCCTACTGAATTTAAAACAAAATAAATTCAACTGACGTTTTGCTCTTTAATGCTAGTAGCTGTATCTCAGTTATAGTCTTCAGCAAACACTATTTCGATGTGTGTCATGGTTCACCACTTGTTTCAACATCATCAAAATCAACATAGGACAAGGTACTACTGCGTAACGGTCCAAGTTACCACAACCCATATCAGCACACCACATAACAAGGCCATGGAATCGAAGATGAAGAAAGAAAGAAAAGTCGGTCGAACGAAGTAGAAAGTAGTAAAAGAGAAGCATGAGAAAGTGCTGAGTTCAGTATAACGATAAACATGAGGATAATGTGTAAATACATCTACACAACTAACATCGACTCTCCGCCATTCCACCTAGAGTTTCCAACCACTGCTTTATGTTTGTCACGTAGAATCCAGCTGGTTGGTCTGCATCACCCCACATGGCTCAAACCAACAGTCAGAGACTTCATACATTGGTGACATGTTTTAGTCTGGCCACCTCAAGCCTTTTTTCCAGTCTGAACCTACTTCGACCAACATTGTATGACGAGGCGTACGTAACGCATGTCCCAGCCATCTCAGTCGATGAAGGTTCACAACCATACCAACTGACTAACCTCTCCTCCCTAAAACCCTTCATTTGACTTTGCATTACTCACGTGGTGACACCACGGAATACGGCAGTCTATACGACGAAGGCAACAGTGGTCAAACACCTGAAGCATTCTCATGTCTTCAACCTTCAATGGCCGTGTTTCACAGCCATATAGTAGAACAGACCAGACTGCTGTGCAGTTCACGCCACCCTTAATAGACAATCGAATATCACAGCGGCGCCATAGGTGGCGTAGGTTGGCGAAAGCCAGAAGAGTCTTTTGTATTCGTGCAGAGATTTCTTCGGTCACTGAGCCACCAGGGCTGATCCTACTTCCCAGGTAAGTGAAATGGTCAACACACTCAACCACTTCACTCTCTATTGTTAGACGTGGTACCGTTGAACACCAATCCTGGAGCGACAATTTGCACTTGAGTGGTGAGAACCGCATCCCAAACATTCTCAAATTGCCACCCAGTGTTCAGAAGACTTTGCATCTTGTCAGCGTCTTCACCTAACAGGACTATGTCATCTGCGTATTCTAGGTATAACGAAAATTCTCCTGTGATTACGTCAACTCCTGTGTAACCTGGTGACGAGAGGGAGACCACCATGAGAATACCTATGATAAAACTGAATAAGAATGGAGACAGTGGGCACCCTTTACGGACATTACTTGATGAGATTAGCTCATCATAGGCTCTAACATGCCCACAAGTGTTCGACTAGAGAGCCTTCAGTAAGGTGATGTACTTAGTGTACTTTCAGTGAGGGACACTGCCGTTCGATCAATGGAGTCGAATGTCGCCTTCAGGTCGAGAAATACAGCTATTGTCAGGCGTCGGTAAGCGTGTCTGTGTTCCAGAGCCCAATGAAGTGTGAATACTTGGTAGATACACCGCCGGTCGAGTCTAGAGCCTACCTGGTGTTCCCTGGTTTGCTGTTCCCGAGCTCCACTCAGGCGTCTAAGAATTATAGAACCTAGAATCTTAGACACTATGTTCGTCAAGCTGATTCCTCTGTGGTTATCACAAAAGGACTTCTCGCATTTCTTGAAGTGGGATAGTCAGAGGGAATCGTACCTGATCCCCACATACCGGTTAACACTTCCGTTAACCTACCTTACCACCATTCTCGTATACCTCAGCAGGTAGTCCATCTGGTCCTGCTGCCCTTCCCCGTTTCAGGTTACCTATTGCTTTCTCAACTTCTTCCAGTGTTGGGGGGCCTATTTCTATGTCCCATTCAGGATCCGACTGGATAGCAGGCAACGCAAGTGGCTGGAGGCCAGTTAAACTGCTCCTCAAAATGTTCTGTCCATCGTTCCAGTCGTCTCCTCTGCGAATAAATCGCAGATCCGTCCTTCTCCGCTATGGTCTCACTAACCGCAGTCGACCTTTTTCCCTAGTCTCCTTAATAAGTCTAAATAACTGTCTACTGTTACCGATCACTACTGCCTTTTCCATCTTTTTAGCCTTCACTGCCCACCACTGTTCGCCATCGTTGCGCAGACTTTTCGTCAATCTACTTTTAAGTTGCGCTCGCTCTTCATTGTACTCAGAGCCTGCAGGGATGCATTCACGTGCATCCATTAGTTTGGAAGAAGCTGCTGATATCCACTGGCTCTTTTTAGCCACTCTTTCGGAGTCCGCTACAGTCTCCAGTGCTGCTTTTACAGTAGACTGAAGATGGCACCAAGCTTCTTCTGGATGAGTGACAGTCTTTTGTTCCGATAACTGCCTAGCCAACTTCTCACTGAACACGGCTTTGGTGTTTTCGTTGTCCATCAGCACTCGTAGTGGTTTTGTTGCCAAATTTTTCCTACGTCCATTGAGACGCAGGCATATACGTGCTCGGACCAACGCATGATCGCTGTCCAAACACGTACTCCAGAAGGAGCGGCAGTCTTCCACCGATCCTCTCCAGCGATGACTAATAGCAATGTGGTCTATCTGTGTCCATCGCTGAGTTGAGCTCGGTGGACGCCAGGTCAGACAGTGCCTTTCTTTATGTCTGAAATTTGTGCTGGCTAAAAATAGGCGGTTATCTGAGCATAGTTGTAATAGGCGATCACCGTTATCTGTACGTTCAGCTGGGATTCCGAAAGTGCCACCTAAGTGCCTTTCTGCCTCACTCAGTCTACCCACCTGTGCGTTGAGGTCACCTGCAACAACCACTACGTCCGAACGTTTGGCTTTCGAGAGGAGGTTAGACAGTTTATGGTAGAACTCGTCCTTCACTTCATCCGAACTACAGTCAGTGGGTGCGTAAGCAGAGATTACAAAGAGACAACGGCGAGTCTCACTATTCCTTTTAGTTCTTACTGTGCCGTTCAGCCTCATAGCGCAGAGGCGACTATCAACTGGGATCCAGTCTAGTAGTGAGTTTTCTGCCCTAGTGCTTAATGCTATACCTACACCTGCAAGACCCCGAGAGCTAGCTATCGAATCTCCAGAAACTCGAAGGGTGAATTTTGAGAATTCACCAGATTGGTCAGGAGAGGTCAGGTGAATAACCACACTTGGGTCCTGTATGCGTGTCTCACAAACACAGCACACATCCATGGCCCGAGTTGCTAGAGTCTTTGCCAACGAAGCCTGTTGACCAATTTGACGGAGGGTGCGGACATTGAAGGCTCCAATATGTAATTTGGAGCGTGGTTTAAGGAGACCAAGGATGCCGTTCTGTGAACTCAAATCGCTGTAAAAGGCTGCAGAACTACGAGAAATTAAAGATGATGTAGTATTGTTAATTGGGAGACGTGAAGGAAGATTAGCAGGTAATGAGGTGGGAGGTGAATAGCAGTTTGAAGAATCTTGAGTGTTGACAGAGTTGTGAGGGCGACTGACACTTCTCGGCTGCCTACACCATGGAAGGCTATTTCTTCTTAAAGTACCTGAAAGAGATTTGTGTGACCGCAGAGCCCATCGAACATCTGTTTGAGGCCTGTCACACGTAGCCTTTTGTGCATGATTATTTTGATTTTTTGTTGTTTTGGGGCCGGATGGTCGAAAAGAAACGATAAATGAACCAATACCGCTGGCCCGGCAGACCGTAGAGTATGATGGAGTGTTATTTTTGAGGGCGATCTTTTCTAACTCCCCCTTCCACTGGGAAGGCAACATCGGCATGAAACTGCTGGTCACCCAAGGGAATCACCTTACTGCTGTCACATTCCATCCAGCTAGCAGCCGTACGACTTCGCTCACAAACCCAGATCATAGTGTAGCAATTTACACCACAACGGTAACTGCTTTTCGTCTAACCACTATGCAACGGACCTTTCTGGTATGGTAGGACCTTGAAGGAACAAGCGTTCCACCAGTATAGCTCGCTGGGTCATTGTGATATGCAAGCCCGACCACCACATCGTCATCATCAATAACAACATAGGACCAGGTATTACTGCGTAACGGTTCGAGTTGCTACATCAGGGTAGCAGCTATCGGTCGCCTGTAATATCTATCCTGTAATTTGTGTACACTGCTGCATGAAATATTTAGTATCAATGAAATTTAGGTGTCATTGCACGATTTGCCAATCATAACATTTTTACCTGCTAGCAAGACTTTTGTTCCAGTGGAAACCAGTACCTGCTTTTCAGTGGGATTCACTTAGTCCAGGGTGCCTCAAGCGCATCATTGTGCGTGATTTTCGAAACAAGATACTGTAACAGTTTTACTCTAGGCCTTCAAGCGTGAAGATTATAAAGGTGATCTCCTTCAGATGCAAAGAATAACCAAAGAAAGGTCAGTAAGCAGTATTTTGTCATATAATTTATCTAGTCAGCAAGCGGTTAAGCACTTTCTTCATATATCTCCTACATGTCCCTAACCAGAGACTCTGAGGCTGCTTTTCCATATCAAATCCACTTGTACGGTCAATTAGGGGTTACTAATTATCACTTCATGCTGCTTCAAAGTGGTCAGAAATCTTACCAGTGGCCTCATCAATAATGACAAAAACACTACAAGTTTGTGTGACATTTTCCTAGCATGATCTGCCGGAATTTATAGCTTGTGCAGTTTGATTAAGCGAAGTGAGTCACATCTTTATCATGTTGTTGTCTTTGATAAATGCTTTTGGTCCCGGTTGACATAACTTAACTGAGAAGTTCGGAAAATTATCACCTACACACCCCGTTTCTTTTATTCCTCAAGAAATAGGCAGATAATAAAAACTTGAACTCATCACTATCCTCAACCTTAAAACTATCATTGTATTCATCCTTACTTCGAGATAAATAAGTGGGCTTTTAAGGACCCACAGACAGAATAAAATTCGTTGAGATAAGGACAGGTGTATCCTTCTAGCTTGCAAAAAAGCATACTGTTGAAGTTAACGCAAAGGGTACACGATATCAATGCCCTTGTTGCTTTTGTAATCTATGCTTGTAATAATAACGATTTTCTTGTATATATAGACTTTTCTACCTGTGTAATTTGGTGAGTGAGAATCACTAACTCCTAGAAAAGCAAAACTCAGTGCAAAATGACTAGCAATAACTTATCCACCGAAAAGTACCAAACTGCGCAAACAAATGCAGTCTTTTAGCTTATTTAACATTTTTGTGACTGTTGTTTACAATGACATGACCGGAAATATATTATTCTATGCATCACTGGTGAAGTTGAAGAAATAGGCAGTAAACTAGGCTAAGTTTGGGCTTTACTGGACTTGTTTGATCCGAAAGTGACTCCTCAATTCATAGTCTTAAGAATATAAAATATTACAAGCTTTATGCTGCAAGACATTCATCGACATAGGAACAACCGTTGTTTTAAGGCAGGGGCTGTCTTATTGAAGGAGTCGAAGCGAAAATTCGCATCAAAGACAAAATTGGAAGACCTCCTTGTAGTTGTGCCACGATTGCTTCTGCCTATACTCTATCTTACCAGTGTATGACGTTTGTCATGTTTCATTAATGGAATCAGACCTTACCGTAAGGATATATGTGTATAAGAAATACCAGTCTCTAGTGACTGGCAGATAGGTAGATACAGCAGTTTGAAAGGGTTGTTTGCACAGGCACACAAGGCAGAACCATCGTTATAGAGAACGCATTTTCCGTCTGAGTACTTTTAAACTACGATTTCTGTGCAGAGGAGGGATGTCCTCACACAAGTAATCCGTAGGCCAGACATAATCTGTGCGCAGGTACCTAATTTTCACTTCACTATAAAACAGGACGTCAAAAACCTCATTGACTAGCAACGATTGAAAGACAAACTCCTATTTGATGAAAACATACCCACTGATTAACGCTTCAGCAGCTGCTTGGTCCTGGAACTCAACCAAAGCTTGGTTTCGTTGGGGAATCATTGTTACATCGCGAATATGCCCATACGTTTCAAATGCTTTCACAAGATCCATTTCAACACTATGTCTCGGCAGTCCACGAACATGAATAACTGGTGAAGGTTCAACTTCAGTCCATTCTCCTGGTCGACTTCGTTTGCGACCTATGTTCGAGTTCGTAACGGACATGGTAACGGAGATGTTGTAAGTAGCGGTAAACCACGCTTAAGCAAGCGCAAATATGTTTGCAACTGATTAAAACAAACATCCTGCAGAGAAAAAAATAATAGGCGAGTTTGACCTGCGGTAATCCTTGCAATAATTCGCTTTGTCAGGCTCCAGTCTCTCTTTAAATAAACTCACCGAAAGAGATGATACTAGATAATACAGCAGCACTGATTGACCGGTCAAAGCAGACAACCACTTCTAAGCCCCAAATATCATACTTCAAGTTTCGTGTTGTAGAATTAGTGAATTGCGGTTCCCTGGGTTTTGTGTCTGTCTGGCTGGAATACTTCCTTAGTTTGGAATTGCCAGAATCATCTGAAAAACCTGAAAGGATGGAGATACGATTATTAATTAATCTGGTCTCAATGTAGTATTACTGCATCTGATCTGCAGAAAGCTTCTCGAGTATAGCCCATCTGTACGGTAGGACTCGAGGTGTGCGTCTAGCCTCCTTTAAAAGTGTCAGGGGATGGGGCCGTGACAACTGCTGAAGGGAGGGAGTTCCACAGTTTACAGACTCTAACTGCAGATGAGTTAGCACGGATCTTTGTACGTCTCTCACATGCTCTATTCTTAACGGGTGACTTCTCAGATCGCGTTTCTCATTAAAACTTAGAACGGATCTGTTAGGATGGAGAGGATTATGGGCAATGTGGTACAGCACGATCATATCCCCTGTGATCCTCCGGTTTGTATTGGGTGCAGCCGAAGAGCAGCCAGCGGTCTTGGTACGGTTTGTACCGTAACCCGACCACTTTCTTTGTGGCCCTTTTCTGTACCCGCTCTAAGAGGACGATATCGTTTTTCAAGTATGGGGACATTACAAGCGATTTTTTTCTGGGTGAGGGCGAAGGTACAGAACATACACTGAGGTGAAAAAAGGAGTTAGACCCCCTAAAGTTCGCGAGAGAAACCCCAGGATTCCATAAGCCCTGTTGGCTGTGAGGTAACAGTGGAGTGAGGCTCCTAGCGCACCGTTTGATGTCACCCCCAGATCTTGTTCCATGTTAGAGTGACAGACATTTATTTCACCCAGAGAGCAAGAACTGGGACTGCCCTTATGTTTGTCAACTATCATTATTCGACACCTCTTCGAGTTGAGAAGAAGCAGGTTTTCTGCAGTCCAGTTGAAGATTTTCGCAAGTTCCTCCTGGAAGACTAAAATATCCGTTGGCTCCTGTACTTCCCTCCAAATCTACAGATCATTGGCCTATAATAGTGAATGTGAATTAGGGCTCCTAATAGGTCACTGATTAAAGCAAGAAACGGTGATGGGCACATTATAGAACCTTGAGGCGCACCACTCAGCATCGGGAACCAACTAGATAGAAAGGGGCCAACTCTGGCTGCAACCTGGTGTACAGATAATCTCAAAGCCATATTAATAAGTTTCCGTGTACACCCATGAGCTGAAGTTTCTTACAAAGGATAGCATGATTTACCCCGTAGGGGGCTTTAGAAAAATAGAGTAAACCGATGTGAATAGGCTTTTTCTGCTCGACAGAGTGTGCTCAGCTACTCCTAGCTATCAACAAGTTGGTGTTACATGACCTTCCTGATAGGAAGCCATGTTGACGGTCACTTAAGATTGATTTCTTGAGTAGGTGATCACGAAATGGGTCATTTATGACTCTCTCCATGACCTTGGCAACTGAAGAGATCAGGGAGATCTGTCTCCGGTTTGAGGCAAGCTGCCTGCTTCCACCGTTATAGATTAGGACGACAGCCACCCGTTTCCATTCGGAAGGTAACCTGTCTTCCAGAAGCGAGCAGTTGAAGAGGTTTGCCGGTAGGGTGCGCAGAACTGCGGAACACTGTTTGAGTACCCTTGGGTGAATCCCTTCAAGTCCCGGAGACTTATCCGGGTTCAGATTCCTTAATGTTTCCATAACTATAGAAGGTTTAACCCCTCTGTGATACGGGCATCCGACAGATGCGTGGTTTTACCTCCAAAACGGCAGAAGTTGTCTTGGAATTCATGAGCTAGTAGGTTCACTACTTCGGAGTTAGAATGGAGAATCTCTAAACTAATAGGGTCCCGTAAACCAAGTTGACCGTCACTCTTCCGTTTCATCAGCGAGTACAGCATCAAATGATTCCCCTTCAGGGTCCTACACAGTTGTATCTGGTGGTTTATCCTGTCATCTCTGATTCTTATTGTGCATCTGTTGCGGATGTCTTTGTAATTTAGCCAGTCAGCAGGACTACTAGCGCACTTCCATAGATTCCGAGATGACCGTCTACGCCGCATGAGCTTGCATGTGCTTGGCTTAAGCCGGGAGGAGCAGAATTTGTTGGTTCATCCTGGGATCTTGTCTTTTATCGTCTGGAGGATTTCGTTCTTCGGTAGTTCCCACCCGGCATCCAGACCCAGTAGGTCATCACAATTTAGGCGAGCGGAACCTTCTAGATCCTGCCGGACCTTCTCAAAATCAGTTCTTCTGTAATTCCTGACTAGTGGCTGACGGGTGGCGGGTGGCTTAGATATAGAAATATTGAAGGAGATAAATGCATGGTCACTCAGGCCAAGAGGGCTTAAACCATCCAAATTAGTTACCTCAATGAACTGATTTGTGAAACATAATGTAGTCGGGATGCCTTACGGTCAAACGCCCCAGCGACTACAGTGGGAGACACATTCGGTCAAGGAGTCCTCCAGTAATAGTTCCCGAAAGTGCTTCAGAATAGTAGATGGACTTTCTGTGGCAAAGAGTTGAGGGAAGTTAAAATCTTCCATAATGAAAACCTGTGGGAAGTTCAGTTCCAGAGCTCCTCCAGGGGATTGTATTAACGTTTCACTTAGCGTAGTATCTGCTGCAGGAGGGCGGTATAAGACTCCAACAAAAAACACGGACTTCCACAACACTTATTGCCACACAGCAGGCGTCTTTAGTGCCAATTCTGTGGGATTGAATCTCACGGGCTTTTAGGGAAGGGCGGGTGTAAAGAGCAACGCCACCTCCTGGACCCCCTGGTCCAGGAAGTAAGATACTGGCAACCAATCCGTCATACACTTATGGGGTGTGCGAACGATATTTATAACTGCCAACATTTTTAGACTCAAATCCAAGCGCTAGCTTCTGAACCTCCAGTTGTAAATAACCCTTCGAAACCAATAGCATAAAGTTTGAAGAAACCGAACACTGAAACTGACCTTCACAAACTTAGCGGAATTGTCGAGCTCAAGATACCCACACAAGCCTTCACGCTGTTTTCCACATTAATCTGCAACGTGACGATGGAAATTAGTGAGCCCGTAACACGACTAGGGCATGAAAATCGATATCTTGGTGTGGTTTTTAAAATATACCGTTTCCCCTTTATTACAGTATGATGCCTTCTCCTGGTCTCGCACTGTTGAGTACTCAGCAAGTGGGGAGAACTAGTGGTTGACCCTCAAGCCTGCCAAAATTCTCCGTAGACAAGTCCCAGAAGCCGAACAACTACAAAATCCATTGATTACTCTGAACATCTTCATGTAGTTTAAAAAAGTAGCCCCAGCAGCTCAAACGTGTCTAGGAGTTCGTTGATAAAAAAGAACAGGACTCCATATTGTTCTTCGAGGAAGCTTGGTTGTCATGGCTTTCCACTCAGATGATATTTTGACCCGTCCCATTCATATGTTCTTATCACACCAAAATTTCTGCCTGCAGGTCTGGACCGTAGCGTCAAACCCGCAAAAAGAGCTCGGTCGCGAAACCAAGGTGGGAAACTTCACTGAAGCCTTTCTGAAATCTTTACTTGTTACACAGTTTTCAGTAAGTATCAGGAGGTTAGCTAGGGGGAGGTCGCCAGTGAAAAGCCATGTTGTAGCTAATTGAAAAGATCGTGCTATTCGGTGGGAGAAAGCAGATTATTCATGGTAATTTTACTAGAACTTTCAACAACAGTGCCCGTTAGGCTTGAGTAAAACTATTGCGATATTAACAGCCGGTTACCTACTATAAATACCAGGCTGATTACGATATTTTATCAGTCTCTTGATGGCTGAATTAGAAAGAGGGGCATTTTGAATAGCTCGATAGATTTCCCGCCAACAACATATGCCAACGAGGGCAACAGCTTTTGGTTTAACCTATTGGCATTGGGTGATTGCTCAGTTTTGAGGTTGCCTATTAGTCAGCCGAGGTTTACCGTCCTATGCGAAAAAGGCCAATCATCATTCACATCTAGTACTAAAATCCGATGCAGTAGGGTTACCACCTATCAAGCAGAATCGATTAAAGTATTTGTTAGAATATTTTTCTAAATACCCGATAATATTGAAATTTCACTTGCATATGGCCTTATAAAATCCTGTCCTGGATGTCACACCACCTGTCTCCAGAAGTATGTTCGACAGTCGTTTTCTCCTCCTTGGAAGTCCAAAGATACTCTGATCAATTGATCCGCGGAAGGTGGCGAAAATGCCTACCTCAGATCGAACATGGGATGATCCGTGAAGTTGAAAGTTCTCAACCTCCTCAATAGACATTTCCTTATCTACAGTTCACTTTGGCGTAATACTGCAGTCCTTGAGATCTGGATGGCCACACACCAAATATTCTAGCTACGGGTCAAAGAGTCGTGACATACCTTTTATACGCGGAATTTTAATTTTTGTTCCATTACTTGTCGTTTGCTGATACATTTAAGCACTGAATGTCGGTTCGCATAGTGGTATTTATTTTCTTTGCTATTCCTTCCATGTCGATAGCGTTTGGTTCAAGTTTCTATTAGCTGACGATGGGGCTTGGGCTATTTGAGGCCTGAGATATATGTTTTGAGAAGCCCTTTTGTTGCATTCACACCACTTGGCTCCAAGAGCATATAAACGGTAATCCGGCTCATGAATGTTGTTAGTTCTGAAGCTTGTGCCGTTTTGACGCCCACATATCTCAATTTCACCGTACGTTTCACCGACTCGGTTCACGGGCTGGCCACCTCGCTTGTATCACTGTCATTTGCTCGTAATTCACCTGAACAGATATGACTTTACGTTTTCGTAAGTGCATCGTATCCTGGTAACTCTGATT